GAAATTTGCCAATGAAGATAAATTAAATTTTTATCCTCATTGGGAGATTATTAATAAAAGATGTTTAAGTTCAATATGATTTGTTAAAAAATAAATTTTCCCAATTACCAAGGCAAAGGAAGATGGCATTTTAGTTACTAGCCTACGCCTCAAGATAAACATTGAATTTATGTTTGCAAATGGGCCAATAAACAAAACTTTTAGGCGTCAAAATTATACTTATAATATAAAACTAGACTATAATATAAACTATCTGGCTACTCTGAAAAGATATGCCGAAACGAACCTAGAGATCCATTTCTTTTAACGCTCAGACAATGTAAAAAGTAACAATATATGTATATATGTATAGTAGCATGTATTAGGACTATGCTAGTTCATTCTGTTGTGGTCTTTTGAGGAAAGAACCACACCAGTTTAAGTGGACCCGTACTGAAGACAGGCACGCAAATGTCAGTTCCAGTTTAACTAACGGGTGTTTGTGAGAAGTCAGACGAACAAACCTGATTAAAAGAACATTTCGATGGTTCGTACAAATACTCAAACTGTCAGAACGTAAATTAGCATTTCAAAAGTGTGGCAAAGTCTAAAACGGTCCTGACACTCACAATGGTTACCAAAAATGAAAGTGTCAATAAAAAATAAAGATATGACAATAAAAAAGCTATAGGTCATATAAGGTAATAGTGACAATTGTACATACTTATATAAAAAAATGTAACATTATCAAGTAATGTAAAAAATCAGCTGCTGAATGAAATCCGGCGATGTTGTTTCAATTATTACAAAATTTTTGCATTCGTTTGGTTATTTTTATTGACGACTAGCTGTGCCCGCGACTTCGTTCGCGTGGTTGTCGAAAACAAAACAACATCGTTTAGATAACAGTAGGCAATACACATATAAACTCCACTCAAGAAAGAATTTTCTTTGCTATCGAACATCATAACTGTAGTATGTATTTATTTAGTAATATTGGTATAGCTGATTACGTTAATGCTTCCCTATATTAGCGGTTTGCATAGAAACATCGAGTCCGCCGTGTGAAAAACAATCAAAAGTATGGCCCTTACAGGGAATTGCACATTTATTGCGTTGGAGACTTGTTTCTCTCAGCCGTGTACCATCACAAACTTTTGGAGGACTTAAATTTCTGAGTAGAATGATTGGTGGAGTACCAACTTTTAAATAAATTTTGTGTGCTGGAACACCTGGTGTCATTAGAGATTCTAAAAACTCTACTGGATAGTGGGTGGCATCTCCTTCTTCCAAAACCGTGTTAATAGATGAATATTCCCAACTTTCTCAAGAAACATGTACCAATATTTGAAAATTGATTGCTGCTGCTTGGTTATTGCGAGGTGCCAAAGTTGCTCGTTGGCATAGCCAAGCAGCGTCATGGTTCGAGATCTCTAATAGATCTCCGTATACAGAAGAAATGAGTTCTTGCTGTGAGGCAACAAAAGAACACAGGCTCTCGACTAAAGTTAATTTACCACATTTTTAAGTCGTGTATGTACCAATTGGAAGTAGTAAATTTGAGAAGACCTGCGCGTTTGCGTCACCTCCCAAATATGGTCACATATTAAAGCTGAAATTGGATGATATGATACTACGCCATAAAAAAGAGCTCTTTAAACGTGCACCTATTGCATCGGCCCTCGTTCCTCTGGGTATTATAGGGAGTGTCTGCCTAAAGTCTCCACAGAATAGCACCATTAAGCCCATCGGTAGGTCATTTTGTCTTATATCTCGCAACGTTCTATCTACAGCTTCCATAACTTTATCACTATTGCGAGAGATGTTGCAAACAGGGTTTTATGTGTGCTCCAAGTCGATTGGTATTTTAAATGTTTTATTTGCAGTTTTTCCTCCTGATAATAAAGTGGCTGCAATTCCTGAGGAGGCCACCGCAAGGGCAATTTTGTTTTGGCTCCTTATTTGAGCCAAGATAACTTTGGTGAGGAAAGTTTTACCTGTTCCACCAGGTGTATCTAAAAACAATATTTCTCCTTAAGAATTTTCTACACTACAGCATACTCTACCAATATTTGACGCTGTTCTGACGTCATATTTGAACAGCCATTTAGCCCTATTTCTGCTAACTCCTCAGGGTTGTAATTTATTTCCGATGCACACTCCCTATTTATTGGTTCCCCACCAGCTGTCGGCGTTGGCAAGCCGTATTGACTGAGAAGGTTCCCTCCTATACTTATAACTATATCTTGTATAGCTAGCAAAGACTTATTATGGCAGTTTTCCCGTACTTGGTCAGAAGTTTCTCTATTACTATTTTCCTGTCTGAAAAAATCTTCGGCAAACGCGTCTTTATATTTTTGCCACAACTGCCCAGCGTCCGATAGGCCACAAAATGTCAATAAAACAAACAAATGACGAAGTCGATGTGGACTATCGCTGACGCATGCGTCGGCTAAAGCATCACCCCAATTCCCAATGCTGATCGCCATCTAACAAAGGCCGTGCGCGGCAAGCAGCCTGAAATGAGGGATATTCTATATCGTCCACTTTGCGGAGATCAGTAAAAGAAGTAGGCCCTCGCACTATGTGAAGAAAAAGGCGTAAATAATGACACTCTGCATTATTTGGGTGCACCGTGTATACTCTTCAAATCACGTGTTCTTTAAAAATGCCGGGCTCATCTTCTACAGCAGTTCCACGTCACCTGCGTTTAAAAACACCTTGCTGCTTGTTGTAAGTATAATAATGTGGCACTTCATTGTACAACAGAGACTTGGCGAAATTGTCTCTCGCAAAGGCGAAAAAATGCGAGCAAGGTGGTTTGTCTCGGGTTATGTCATGTTAAATCGGATCTGCGCTATGGTCTGGAAATTTTGCACTTATGACACTGTCTATAGCGTCGGGACGAATTTTTCTTCCAACCACAAAAGAATGTGCGCATGGGGTAAACTACGCTTTTGCCACTCGACGCTATACATAAAATACAGAGTTGAACCGAAAGCTTTCTCCTTTGTAAGTAGATTAATCAAAACTTTGAGTTTCAAATGCAAAATCCTCGCAATAATGTCATAATTAATCTTATACAGAAAATGACGTATTTGCACAACGCCATCTATCGAATAAAGATATCAACTATCAACATTAGTTCTGTTTTTTGTCTTAAGGTGTCGTTGCAAGTACTATACGGAAATGCGTGTTGTTTTACTTCTTGAACTCACTAAATTGATCATATCTGCTGATAGAGTGAACCGATTTCGATGAAACAAAAACTAAGTTATACCTCAAGTTGTGTAGAATTTTTGTATATAAGCATTCTCTGCATTGAATTCGTAGATTTTATGTGATGCGCGCACAAACAAACATATAAACAGACAAACAGACAAACAGACAAACAGACAAAAATGACAAAAATTACGAAAATGGGTTCGGTTAGTTATCCTTTAACACGCTGGCTATTTCTTTTTTCCATTTTTTCAATGTACAAAAATTACTTTTCTACAGATTTATTATATGTATAGATCTTATGTCACCGTTTTTAAATTACATTTTGTCGAAGCTTTCTGTGCAGTGTCGTTGTATGTAAATAATTTTGATTCACTTCACTTCATTTTGCAGTGGTAACCAAGATCCACGCCTGCGGAGCCTTTTTATTAAAACACTGGCAAACGAGCAGACAGAGAATCTGATGGTTAACGGCGCCGCTTATGATCTCTAGTTGTTTTTGGGTTTAGGGATTTTGGGAATTTAAGGATTACGGGGGGGAGGGGGAGGTGGAGATTGGGGCCCCGGTACCCTAACTCATACCGCGCAACACAACACTATGGTTGTTTCATGAAGCATGGCTCTCCCACAATTATGATCATGCCTATGCGCAAATATAGTTATTAAAGTTTTCGTTTTTAGTAAATATTTTGTCTGTACTTACATTTACAAATAAATTACTTTATTTTGACTGCACGGCTGATTCAGTATCTGGGAAACTGGCAAAACGTGGCAATGTGTTCGATTCCCGCACGAAACAACTCTTTGTACGATAATCAAAAAAAGGCACCATCCATGACACAGGACCCGCTCCCGTTATTTGTATACGTACCCTACTCTGCCTACTCTACTCTACCTACCCGACTCTACCTACCCTACTCTACCTACCCTACTGTACCTACCCTACTCTACATAGTCTATCCTCCATCCTATGTCTATGTAATCTTATGTAATTTTCAGCTTAATCGGTTCAACTATAAGTGGAATAATTAACATGACTTTCTTTTATATATATAGAATATAACCCACTTGAGAAATCACATCATATCATCAGCCTATCACTACTCATTGTCTAGCTAAGGCCTCTTCTTACAAGACGAAGGTTTGAACGTTGATCATCAATAATATGTATATGATGCTGTCGCGTCAGAATGTTTGTATAAGACAGTGACAGCTACAATTTTATTCCTCAGATAACATTTATCTGACTCTTGGAAAATCAGCCCTAAGTCATTAATATTTATGATAAATTTGTAAAAACATTTACTGCGCTGACTGGAGCGTGAGGAGGAGGATCGATCACGCGGTCCGCCTCCTTCTTTGTGAGTATAACTGCTTCACACAAAGAAGAGACGGCTTCCCAGTTCCTCTCTCTCCGCACCAATTTCGCATTGGTGCCAAGAGAAGAGTGTTTTTATTTTAATTTATTGAGAAAAAAAATGCTCACTGGGTATTTCTTTATTAAGTCATTGAATTAATATGGCATGTTGTTACCTCATTGTTAACAACATTTGTACAATTTTCATAATATGTCTAAAAATACCTATTTTTTTTAAACAGTGCAAAAATTAAATATGTTACAGAAAAATACTATTGTAATTAATTCCGTATTATAAAAAGAAAATAAAACCTAGTAATTTAGAATAATTTAAAGCAACAGATTACAATGCATTTACTATTTAGTTGCTTTAATATATTTAAATATAGACAAAAAATTGCTTTTTTCTACGTGTACGTGAAATATCACAAATAAATCTTTACTCTCTCTTTCTCTATCTCTTCCTCCAGAATGGAAACTTCCCAGCAAGAAACTTGTCCTTTGCAACAATAATGGCATCTATATTGATGTTGGCTCCTAAAGCGATCCCTGCGCCGGAGTTGACGTTCTCTAAAAGAGTTATTTCTGGTGCTTTATCCGCTGAAAAACAATTATGAATTACTATAAATAAACGTAGGTATGTTTAATAGAAAAGAGTTCTTACTCGCAAAATAAGACATTAAAAAAAATATCTTAAAAATGTGTTTCATAAATAAGGTTCAATTTTGAAACATCTTTTTTATGAGTTACTTCTCTTTTCTATTAAACATGCAATATGCTTTTGCGATTAAAAAAAGTTTTTAGTTCTTATTTGTATAATAATGTGTGTCAGACGTTAAACAACTGGTTTCCTTTATATCGATTAAAGTGAATACGTCTTCCATACGGGACTTATAATTGATGAAAAGGGTATCTCATGTATATGTCGCATTATGAGTCAAACACTGCTATGCACTTCTTCATTATCTGCGTGTTAACAATAAAAAATAACATCAAAAAAAGTTTCAACATTAAAAAACTAATTTTGACTTTCTAAGATAAGTACCAATTAGATGAATTTGGCATAAGTACCGGTTAATAACGGCTGTAAAGTGTAAGTACCTATACTTAATTGATTCTATTTTTACTTTAAGAGCATATACATAAGTATATAAATAAGTATTTTACCAGCTTCGTCAGGTAAATCAAAGTCGAGGGTTCTCGTCCCATCGAGCGTACCCGATGCTTTCTTGTTTCCTGCATCAAAATTGTAGTGAAGTAAGCTGTCACGAAGAAGAGTCACTGTGGTTTGTCGAGGATCTGAAATTTAACAAAATGTTAAGATCAAAAAAGGTGAAAGAGAAAGACTAAATGATAATAATAATCGGAAATACAAGGACTTTAACTTGAATCATTGTAATTTGATAATGTCAGACGAAATAAGGAAAATGTTTGAAACAGACGAGAAACCAGTTAAACAAAAAATATTTATCACAATACCTATACGAATCATAAAAGCAAAAAATAACAGTTTTATTATTAAAAAGGCAAATAGTGGTTTAAAACTGTGAGACTTAATTAAAGAGAAAACTATCAGAGACAAAATGGTAAACCTATTTACTTTAAAATGCATAAAATGATGTTAAAGTTAAAGAAATTGATAACTAGCTTCCGCCCGCAGCTTCCCACGCCTATAAAAGTATTGAATCCCGATTTCATTTTAAAAACAGCAGCGCTTAAACAAGTAAATTCGCAAATCAAGAATATTTTTAGCGTGTAGCACTCAGAAACATTGTAGCTAGCATCTATCAGTGAAGAACTTTGGAAATCCGACCAGCGGTTCCAAATATTACCCCCTACATATAAACTAACAACCTTAAAAGTACATCATACCTGGAACAGCGTTACCACAAGTGAAGAACAAGGCCAGGAACACAGTACCAATAAACATTTTGCTAACGTGGTTTCTTGCAGCACTCAACCAAACTGGTTGCTTTATGAAAATTTTACCTCCTTTAATATTAATTCGTCCACTAGCTATTTCCCTCGATTCTTCCTTGTACGAGTAATAATTGGAATGTTAAAATCTGGGCGACATTATTTGATAATGATTTGTATGTTTTAATGGTGCTAAGTAATGCACTTGTGACGTCTCTGGTGTTCCGGTGTACATCGACGGCACTGATCGTTTTCCATCAGGCTGCTTATTTGTCTTATATTTGTTTTGGTACCCAAGACACATTCAGGTGCATGTAATGTGACCTAAGCACAACATATGGTCTATTATCGAGGGAAATACTCTCCTTACGCACCATCCGCCGTTGTACGAGACATTCCGGATATTGGGCAACCATCTCCAGCCACCGTAAGCGTGGGTTCGACAAGGCTCAAGAGGGCTGATGTTCAGTCGGGGATGCGGGCCAACCGCTATGATTTCGCATAATAAGTATGAAATCGCTAATCCGCCTTGAGCAACCGTGGTGGTTAATATTCAAGCATTCTCTGTTTGTGAAAAGGTCTTTGCCAAGCAGTGAGCACTGAGGCCGATCTGTTTATGTAATGCATGTGTAAATATAATTTTGATTTTAGCTACTTCGACCTCAACACCTTCTAAACGCCTGTAGTTTCAAGCTGACGAAAGTGTAATACTGTGGGATGAACGTGGTACATTTAAATCTATTAATCCATTTGAGAACTTTTTTGTGTTTTCAATTTACTTGCTATCTACGGTTTGTCTCACATACTATATCCCCCGTTTTCTCATTTGATGTTGTATAAAGACACAACGTATTCGAACCGTTTTTGGTCGATGTTTTTTCTTTTGGAAAATGATCAAGATGGACTGTACAATTTTAGTTCTCACCATATTGTCCTTTGTCAGTGGTATTTAATTATACGTAAAAAAGACAAAAAGTCAGATTAGTATTTGTCTAAGTTATATACAGACAGTAATCCAATCTTTGGTTTTTTATACATCATTACACTCTAAACCAGTTTTTGGTTGTGTAGGTAGTAAGTGACCACATTATAATCCTTGTTAAGAATCTAAAATCTGCATAAAATTTGAGGATTTTGCTCTCTTACTGTTATGAGTCATACTAAAAAACGTTAGATTAATTAAATCATTTCGTGGAAATTATTTCAAAGTTTTTACTTAATAACATAATACAAATGTAAGAAGTTGTTCGCGATTTACATATTAGATGTAAAGAAGAAAATATGCCTCCTGCGCATAATTTCGTTGCAACATATCACTAATTTGTGTGTTGCCAGTTTTTAAACGACAGTAGACTCGTTTTACTTTCTTCATATCTTTGATTTATGCAGACTTTTCAGGCATTGTAAAGCAGTTAATAGACTACCACAGATGGGGCCTATAGAGCTGATGTTCAGCCGAGGTGGAGCAAGAAATCGGAGGGTTTTTAATCAGTAAGAGGCTGACACTCCCTGACAGAAGTCATTTAATGATTTTCCCCTCACCAAAAAAAGACATTGTAAAGCTGGCCTTAAATAGGTTCTTATTAAGAAAATTGACAGGTTTTCTAGTTAAAAAAAACATACCAACTTTAATTCGTTTATTTGACGATATACTTAAATTTAGATTATTTCTCTGTATTTGTGTTGTAAAAACATTGTGACGCCATTTTTCATACAAAAATCATAGTTTTAAAGTTTTTATAGTTTTTGAAATTTTCTAAAAAACATTACCTATAGCCAAGAACTACAGTATTAAAATTTTAAGGATGAGGGATTTTGACTCCAGTTACCTCAATAACGACGAAAGCATTGTTTCACGCCAGATTTCTGTGGGGCCGTGGTATCAATCGTATAGTTTTAAATATAACATTCTTCTTGAGTCAATAATTATGTTGTTAAAGTGCGCGTATTTGTATGCAACAATTTAAAAGAAGTTTCCAGGAGACTAATTAAGTAAGCCAGGGTCACGGGTCAAGCGCTCTAAGGTACCGTGGCCTGAGTAAGAGCCTGATAATAAATAATACTTCTCGTCATAACGTGGGCGACAGAAGTCATTTTGACGATATTACCTCCCCAAAAAATGGGGACTAATAATATATCTAGGACTAAATAAAACTAATGACAAACCAGTGGTTTTGAACCTATAATCTTTAAAGAATCAAGGAGCGATTTTATATTATTGATATAACTAAGACAACTATAATTTATCTCTAGATACAAGTAGGTGATAATAAAATCGTCACAACGTATACTAAGTGGGAACAGGAGACACATGGTAATCAATTAATTGATATAATTGCTGGCAAGGTGCAGCAGATAATTGCTGCTAATTCTATTAGTATGTCAACTTACAATAGGTTTGATGCAATTATTATATTATTATTGACAGTTTTATCTACAACTCGTGACTGAAGCATAGAAAAACGTCGCCTGAAACGTGCAGATTTTTTACTGTGATTAAGTCTTCTTCGTTAATTAGTTCTATGAAATTGTTAAAATGACATTAGTGTTGTTGGTAGGGAAAGTGTTTCTTGGAATATAGCTTGTTTTTTATACCAAAACATTTAAGAAAGTTTTACTGATTCATTTAAGCAAAACATTGCTAGCTTATTAATTCAGTATACTCAGTATCGCTTCAGCTTACTCAATCTTTTTAAATAAAACAGAGATTGGACGAAATTGTTTTATCTTCTGAAATGCGAAAAGTGTGTGATTTAAAAAGAGTAACCATGGAGTTTCTTGCTCGTTCTTCTCCATCGGAATCTACACTTTGGAACGAGCAAATAGCTTCACTAAGAGGACTGAGCGACAGACTGACACTATTTTTTTATTTTATATTTTGTTTGACGTTCAAAAGTGCCTGTAAAGGTCTAATTGGAATAAATGATTTTTGACTTTTGACTTTTGGAGATCTATATATCGGCACGAATGGGTCGGCTCGACCAGAGTGACCATACGGCCTCACAGAAAACCGGTGTGAAACAACCATAACGTTGGGTTTCGCCATGTGATTGAGGTTACCGGACGTCTCATCCTATCACCCTCTGCCAATCCCTCAATCTCGCAAGCCTGATCCCTAAAAGGTCGGCAACGCACTCGTAACTCCTCTGGTCTTGAGGGTTATGAGCGATGCCTATTGCAAGGTAATCCGTCTGCTCGTTTGCTGTCCTATCGTATAAAAAAAGATTAACCTTCAGTAAAATATACATAGGACCTAATTCAGAACCTTGAGGAACTCCAGAGGAAGATATTTGTTTACATTATCAATGAATTTGCAATGGCTATTTACCTTTGAATCATCAACAATAGACTGATAGAAGTAGGAGAAAATAGTATCAAGGCTTACTTATTAATTTTATTGGTTTTTCGGATCAGTTGTTTGGTTGTTTCATTAGCGTCGTATCGTCCGCGTCGTCTTGTTGCATGTTGAATCGTAACAGAGCGCCCTAGTATTATACATTTGACAGACAGATTAGCGATACGAATCGTGTCGTCAGGACATACGATACATATGTACATATGTGTGTATCATAGTGAATGTATGGAACACGCTAATACATTTCGGCCTTTACATTTTCCGTTCACGTGAATATTCGATACCACATTTTTTTTTTCTAAAGGACCTGAGCTAGTTGTTTTGTTAAAAAACATTGTGCAATACCTACACGGTAAAACGACTTATAAATCATTCAATAGTTTAAATATATTTTATCAAGAACTTAATTTGTCTTATATAATGATGGCCAGTCCTATCGATTTTATTCATTGATTTTAGTTGTTCATATAAAGAGGTACATAATTGCGTAAGGTTTTTGTGGGTTACAATGTTACTGTATAGGTAATAGTTATCATTGGAATCGATCAGTTTATATTTTTTTGCGGACGAGTTTTCGAGGTAAATTTTTTTATTAATTTTAACACGCGCATAAAAACTAACTCTAAGAAGTACCTATGTTTACTTTTGATCGCTGTGTTCGAAATTTAAATTGAAAATTCGATCTCATATCTTCATTCTCTTATCAACCGATCTACGCAGTTTCTCAAATTGAATTTCATCTATTGTTTGCATTTTTAACAAAATTTTATGAATTTGCCGGTAATTAATACGGTAGGTTACATACCTGCATGAGTTTTTAATTTATTTTCCTTAACAAACATCTAAACCGCTAAGCGATTATAGTAGTGATGTCCTTCAGTACAGATGATATCAGAGTATGTAAATGATGTGCGGTTCACTGCGGGTACAATGGTCAGACGTATTACGTGGTGTATTATTAGACCTTTATTGCCTGAAGATATAGGTACAGGTTACAGCTTGACCTTCATATTGTACTTATTCTTCCATTTATTGTACTACATCCGATCTGAATCCAATCCAAATTGGTCAAAATGCAGGTCAAGAAAATTCAGTCAGAATGCGGATATTCCTTAAACGTATGTCGGATGTAATGTGTACTATAGAAATATTTCTAGTCATCGAAATAGACTGTGATGGATGTTTTCATGAGGTCGAATCAGACGCAGTGTACTTAATACGTAGTGAACTTGTACATATGTTATGTTAAAGCCTAAATATTTTTTCAATACCTACACTCTACGATATTATTGATAGTATTTTTTACATTAGGATTTTCCGAGTCGTGGGTGCGTTTTAACAAACGTTCAATTTACACACACCCCACACCCTAACCCAGAACAATGATTTGTGGATCACATAAAGAGTTGTTCCGTGCGGGAATCGAACCGGCGACACGCTGCGCGGCAGCCAGTTGCCCGGCTACGAATATTTTAATTTGTTAGTTGTTTTATTTAGTTTGTGCTCAATCAATAAAGCAGTCATGGCCATAATTACCATATTATTTGATAAATAATTATCTCAAGTTTATCCATTAGTATTAAATTATGACAAAAAAACATAGCAATGTATGTATGCTGATGAATTATTTCAAGTAATAATTGCGGCCTTGGAATATTATTAGATTAAAATAAACAAGAACAAATCTTTTGACAAAATTAGTTAAGAAATAGTTAATTTTCCATTCTAACAAGAAGTTTATTTCCTTGTTGTTTTCTGAATGGTTTTATTTATGGCTCATGTAATTGTTATACGTAGGAACATAGTTTTAAAATGTCTGTGTCACAAATAGTCAGTGAAATTTGTATCATTTTGAGTTTTAGTCGTTAATTAGTCTGATAAAAGAAGTTTTAGCTAAAATGGTGACTCAAAACTCAGAGATGGAAAAATGCGAAATGTATTTGAAATAGACAAGAAAGAAAGAATAATCATTACCTAAGAACTTTACTTTGAATTCTAATAATAGGTCAGGTTAGTCAAATAAAACAACGTTTAAAAGAACTATAAATAAGTTTACTGACTACGAGGCTTAATACATCACTTTGATTTCATTCAATATGGCCGTGAGAACCTGACTATGTTCATAGAACTATACTATGTTAACCGTAGCTACCAGCGTTGGCTGATGCTGATGCTTTAGCGGAGGCATAGCCGCCAGACTGACCATAGCCGCCGGAGCCACCGTAGCCGCCGGAGCCACCGTATCCACCGGAGCCACCATATCCACCAGCTGAGCTGGCAGCGTCACTGCTACTGAAGGCTCCGGTATTCGATCCCCCATAGCTGCCACCTTGACCACCTTGTGCCCCTGCACCACCTAACGAGCCCCCGTATCCTCCTGCGCCACTACCCCCGCCGCCACCACTACTGCTTCCACTAAAATCAGCTCCGAACCCACCAAGAAAACTTCCCACTAAGCTTCCTAAACCACCGCCGCCTCCTTTGCCTCCGCCATAGCTTTTTCCACTACCAATGCCTTCAGAGTTTCCACTTCCTCCAAAACCTCCACTAAACAATAAGTTGCTTCCTGCACTTCCACTTCCAGAGCCGCTGCTTCCTCCGTAGCCACCACCACCTCCAGCACCGTAACCTCCTCCATAACCTCCACCGCTTCCTCCTCCAATTCCACCTATACTGCCTCCTCCGATACCTCCTCCTTGACTTTTGCCTCCGAGGCTACCACCACTTAACCCACTGCCTCCAAGACCAATCATAAAGGTGCCACCAAGTGAACTACCGCCGCCACTACTATGGGCCCCACCGCTACCACCCCCGTAGCCTGCACCAGCACCGCCGCCGTAGCCTCCACTATGGCCACCGCCGAGGCTTGCTCCACTGCTGCTAGATAAGCCTCCTGATCCACCACTGCTACTGCCATGGTTCACGCTGCCACCGAAACTCAGACCTCCTCCGCTTCCGCCTCCAAGGCCTCCACCCATACCACCGCCATAGCTTCCACCGTGACTACTGCCGTGGCCACTGCCGCCACTAATCGCTAAACTTCCAGCGCTTCCTCCACTGTTACTCAGGCTTCCACTATTTCCACTTCCAAGTCCTCCACTGTTTCCACCTCCAAAGCCTCCACCAAGGCTACCACCATAACCACCGCCATAACCACCACTGACACCTCCTCCACTATTAATCGTTAAACCTCCTCCTGTGTTACTGCTGCTACTGCTAATGCTTCCACTGCTTCCGCTTTTCGCACCTCCATAGCCGCCACCAGTACCTCCGCCATAGCCTCCGCCATGGCCTCCACTGAGGCTACCTCCGCTACTAATAGTCAGGCCTCCTGTACTACCACCACTACTACTGCCGAGGCTTCCACTATTTACACCACTCCCACCTCCGAGGCCTCCGCCGATACCACCTCCATAACCACCTCCATAGCCTCCTCCATAGCCTCCTCCACTGCCTCCACCTCCACTGATTCCACCATATCCACCAGCACTACTGGATACACCGCCGGATCCCCGACCACTATTGACTCCATGTCCGGCACTAAGTATGCCGCTTCCACTTTCACTACCTCCAAATCCACCACTGAAACTAAGTCCACTGGTCACTCCACCAGCGCTACTCCCATGTCCACTGCCAGAACTGTGGCCGTGTCCACTTCCAGAATTGGTTCCATGGCTACTAGATACACCTCCTTCATTTATAGCGAAACCTCCGCTACCCCCTCCACTACTGCCTCCTCCGTAGCCACCTCCGAAACCACCGCCACCACCTCCACTATTGCTGGAGCCAAATACTGATCCAGAACTTATTTTACTACCACTGGCACTAATTCCACTTCCTGCTCCACTGTTTCCACCGTAGCCACTTCCACTAGAGCCACCCGCGCCATATCCACCTCCTCCACTTCCGCCGAAATTCAATCCTCCACTAAATCCACCGCTACTGGAGAGGCCCCCCGAATTTCCAGCGCCATGGCTTGCGCCGCCACTTCCAGAACTTCCATGTCCGCCAGAGCCTCCGAAACTGAGACCGCCTCCTCCTCCAGAACCTCCCCCGGATCCGAACCCAGCGCCACCTCCATAACCACCGCCACTTCCACCTCCACTGTATCCACCGCCGCCGCCGTAACCACCTTTACCACCATCCAATGTGCCTGTAAAGGCAAATCCTCCAGATTTTCCATCTTCAGATTTTGTATAGATTGATTTTCCTTTTCCACCTCCTAGGCCACCGCTAAAACTTCCCCCAACGTTTCCAAGGGCGGTGAGCCCGGAATGCACATCACTGAGTATGCTTCCAACGCCTTCACGGATGCCTTCAAAGCCACTTTCGAAGGATCCAGAGCCTCCACCGAAGCCGAAGCCTCCTCCTCCGCCGTAGCCGAACCCTCCTCCACCCCCACCCCCGCCTCCGCCGCCGCCCCCTGCTCCTCCTGCAGCGCCGGCTGAATAGCCGCGCCCAATTCTTACTGAAACAAAATATCAATACATAATTAGATCATCAAAACAAAAACCCAAACTTACCTACTATTTTCAATCGTTTGTTAAAGATTTATGTACATTCTTAATTGTTAAAAAGTTATTTATTAATTTGAATTGCTTAATAAAAAGTCACACGACAATTACCTGACGCATTGCTACTGCCCAATAAGAGGCAGATGACGATGCAAGAACGCACCGTCTTCATGATTGATCCTTCGATAACTGACGACGTTTAGTTGTTAACATCCTTTTATATTAAATGGTTGAGCGTGTTCAAAGTTCATAGGAACTCATACATACGTATGTACGGGAAAAACAATTAGTTTTTATAATGCTTTATACTTCTCACAACAGGTTATGAATGTAGTAGTCTTAGAGCCGTCGTTTTTGTGGCGTTGTGATTAGTCAGAGACGATAGTGAATATCATGGCATCTTCGTCTTTGGATATCCTTGAACTATGCAGTCTGTAGGAAGATCACTTTGAGGCCTCGAACCAAAAATCAATATATTGAGCAGTAGTACATTCACGATGTTAATGAGAGAGTTCATACGAACTTCGCCAACATTGTTATGATTTTCTCTCATTGTACTACTTCCCTTGTTGTTTCGTCCGTTGTTTGTACGGACTGAGTAATAATTCGATTTCCGGTTTGAAAAAATTACCAAAATCTGCTAACGGTTTATGAAGTATTATATCAGAATAATCAGCAATATGCTATGAATTATACATATAAAGCTATTAATTAATAATTTATTAGCAGTTTTTTCACCTTCAAGATAACTATATAAATACATTATTAACTTTGTATGTTTTTAAACTATGTAGGTAAATCAAGGTATGTGATAAGCCAAGGATGCGGATTGAAGTGTAACAATGTATGAATGTAGTGGTTTTTAGTCAGTAAGAGCTACATTGTCCCACCTTTAAACAGTATTTAAATGTATTTTATTCCCGAATGGCTAGTTTACCATAATGGTAACGAATGTAATAGCGTTGCGTTTCACCGTGACATTGAGGTTACCGGAGACCCAATCTTTCCCCTTCTCCGAAATCCCTACATCTACGTAACCCTAAAAAGGACGGCATCACACTTGTAACTCCTCCGGGGTGCGCTGATTGCTTACCATCAGGTAATAAGTCTGCTTATTTGCTAAAAAAACACTCAGATACAACGTGTAAGCCTCATGTAGTAGGAATTAAACCTTTTACCATAAACCCGGCATAGTTCCAGACTATACGTGCTACTACTGAGACCGTGTCGTCAATAGTCACTTGTTCGGCAATAGCATCTTGCAACCACTCAAATAACTATGCAGTATTTATTAAGAACCTTCCGAAATCCTCACAAAATTACACCGAGTTCGTTTATATTACAACACTTATTTAAAAAACAAAAGCATTATGGTATAATCTCTGCTATTAAAATCTTTAATCAAAATTCTATGAAAATTTTCCATCTCGATCAAACTACAAATAGGGTTACATTTCTGACCAGTCAACCACAAAATCGAGTTACTTTTTTAGTATCACCTCTCATATTTCAGCACGCTAAAGCTGTTGACTAATTTACCGGACTAGTAAGCGAAAAGTGGGTAGAGAACTATAATAAAATTATAGAGGTAAAATTAATAAGTTTGTATTTAGGGAGTAATCTTTGGGAACCGCTTTTCTATTTTCAACTCTTTCACTAATAGATAGCTACAATGTTCCTGGGTGCTATAAATTATACTAGATTTGTGTAATTTAGTTCGTCGAGCTACCGCGTTAAATGCTGCTGTTTTCAAAATCCGCATGTGGAAGCTGGTTTTAAATAACAATAAGAGGAAAATTGTCAGCCGAATGGAAATCAACATCAACACCTCTCACTTTTTTAATATCACCTTATTAGATAACAGTAAGTACGTGGAACGTGGTTAATAAAGTAACGGCAATAACAAAGCCAGAACAAACGCGTGATTTGACCTTGATAACGTATATTATGTAGTCGTTAGTTACATCCTGCGACTTTGTTTACTAGATACAGCACAGGGTCATCAATGACCGCCAACTTATCTCGCGGACATCTGACATTTTTCTTGTTTTTTGTAAAAACTTATTATAAAACTCGTGAGTTGTCTTTAAAATGGATTGGAGTTGGTTTGATAGGAGAGATCTTATTGGTTTCTTAGTTGAAAAGCAAGATATTTGTCATTCGATTTTCGTAAATAAATTATAAAGGAATAAAAAGTGAATGGTTTGTTATGCCAAATACTTTTACTGGCTACTAATTTGTTAAATTCTTTAGTGTCATGTAGTTTACTTTAGGAAATGTAGGTATGTCATGTAGTTTTGACCCTGGTATTTTAGTACATTAATGTATAGATACATTAGTTCGTCCCCGTTGAAAAATACTTCTAGCTTTTGAAGAGACGCGAGGACTGTGGACCAAAGCAGTAATGTACTATACATTATACTACATTATACACTATACAGTAATGTTATGTACCAAGTTGGAGTGGAAGAACGAACAAGGTAGTTTATAGTCAATAATTGTCAGATACTCTCTCACGCCTTCATTGATTTTCCACTTAGAAAAAAAAACTTTTGGGGAAAACAACTAAAGAACGTAGAATTCCCTCCGTATTAACATCAGCATCACAACATCTAAGTGGCAATGGACTCTCAAAATCCCCGCTGTTCCATGTAAACAGTGTATGTGTGCAGTGAACGTGTCTTCTATTTAATTGCAATAAATCTCACTCACGTCGGTGATCCCAAAACGATCAAGCGATTAAAATACTTAGAATCAATCATTTCTAATTTCGAAGAAGAAGTTCATCCATTAAGTACAAAATAATGTATATAATAAATATTAAGAGACTCTCGCTAATCTTAGAAAGCATTTTGGCGGACCGTACCTCATTTTACCGAAAACAATCGATAAGGACTGACTGATAAGCAGCATGTTTCCGTTAGAGAATACACGCACCAGGTACATTGTCGAGTGGCGACGTCACACCGTTTAAACAAAGCACATGCACTGGTGTAATTTTGGGAACTTATTACATAAGTAAGTCGTATCAATCCACTGAAATACCCAATCATTCCTCTCCCCAATTCGTCCGCAATCCCAAAATCTCCAAACCCTGGTAAGGTTGGCAACGCTCTCGTAATTTCTCCGTTGTCGCAGGTATGCATGGGGGTCGCTGATTGCTTACCAGGTAACCCATCCGATTGTTTGCTGATCTGTGACATATTAACGTACGTTTTATGTTAACGTAATACAATAACCCCCCGTTATTGACGCAAAAAATATTATTATATAGGTATATAATAAAGAAACAAAACCATTAAGCTATGATTGCTGTAAATTATTTTATTTATCATAATAATTGATTACAATTACAAATTATGCTTGTATAATTATGTACAATCTTAAAAGAGTAAATATATCTCACTCTGCCTTGTTAGTCAGTTGGTTGCAAAAGTGACTATTGAACAAGGGTTCAGGTTTTTTTATGTGTGTAATGCAGACAAATTAGATGATGGCCTCTGGATAAAGTCAACAAAGTCAAAGTCAAAATCATTTATTTCAGTTAGAACCATACAGGCAATTTTGAAAGTGTCAGGCTGTCGGTAAGTCCTCTTAGTGAAGCTATTTCCAAAGTGTAGATTCCGATGGAGATCAACGAGTAAGAAACTCCATGGTTACTCTTTTTAAATCAGTTTCACATAATCTTTGGTAAATTACTTAGTTGGTTTGATTACGTGAGAACAGTGTAACGCTTATATACAAAGAAACATAAAAAGAAAATAACCTTAAGGACCAGAGGAGATACGCATGTCTGGCTGGCCTTTTGGGGATTAGGGTTTTAGAGATTTAGGGATTGGGGGAGGGAAAGAAGGATTGTGCCTTACGTACATTATTATCGGAGTATCTTAGTAATGACACGGAGTCTGCAGCAATTATTCAGGCAGGGTTAATAGAACTGGTAAAAATTGAGACAGACATACTCGTAAGGATTAGTGCGTGTTAATTACACGCACTAATCCTTACGAGTATGTCTATGAACATTACTACCCCTTCAGATATTAAACAAGACGACGTATAGTATTATTACAATTTAATTATTACGTTCCATTAGACTGGTAAAAAAATCAACCAAGAAGGCACCTTCTATTAACTGTACTTGCATAAAAAATTATGATTATTTAAAGGGACCAGTAAAACCTGTACTTAATGTAAGCAGTACTAAGCACTGCAAATAAATGATAAACTCTTTTTAATTGATACCAACTATTACAAGATTATATTCAAAGTATAAAGCTGAGGGCACACTAATGCGCACATAACAGCCCTAGAACAGAGTTTCCCAAATACGAAGTTTCAGGTCGTTTTTAGGAATTTTCTCCTGTGTCGTGGGTGCGCATTCAAACATACAATTCACATATAGATACGACTAGTGACGTGAGTCACTTCAGGGTGCCACCTGAAAATCAGCGTTGAGCATGTTCGCTCAACTATATGCTGTGGTGGAGGCCCTTTTGGCGTAGGCAAATTAATATTATTTTAAAGTTTTATGTTCTTTCTTTTTTTATTGTATTAATCATGTTTTGTTATTTTATTTATTTTATTATTGTTTATTTATTTATTTAACCTTTATGCACAACGTACATAGGTGGGCTTAATGCCAACAAGCATTCTTGCTAGCCATTGTTGTATTTCAACATCAATTTGTGGATCACAAAAGAGTTGTTCCGAGCGGGAAATAAACCCACGACACGTTGCGCGACAGACAGTTGCCCAGCCACAGCGCCAATCGTGCAGTCGTTCTGCGGACAACAAGAAAAACTATCTTATAGTATAGTAAGCCTCTCTGGCCTAGAGATTAAAGAGCCCGCTTTTAATGCATGCGGTGTATGTGTACGTAACGGTGTGATATTTATAAGTTACATGTACTCATTGACTGTTTAATCAGGCATCATTAACACAGGCAGAAAAAAATAGCCAGGATATCTTTTTTGTGAGGGGAATATAATCCAATAACTTCTCTCGAACAGGGTGAGGCGAGAGGGAGTGTCTTACTCCTACTTTATCCAGAGACCGTGTTATCTTCTCGCGCTATCCCCGCAACTCAGTCTGAGAGTAAAGAAAATTGAGCTAACAATTTCAAATTTAACGTTTGAAAGAACCTGGCAATGAATGCGCATTCTTCTCCCTGTGAGCAGAGGCCGTTGCTCAGCAGTGGTCCAGTTACAAGCTGATGATGAAGAAGAAGGTTTAAAACAGTTAAACCTCATTTATCTAAGTCTGCGAACAGCCTTATAAAGATAGATCACCCATAAAGTTAAATATAGCCGGCTGGTCACGACTACTTCGCAAGTAATATGTTTTATAAACCGCATCCGGGTGCTATCTCAGTATTTATCGAGATTCCTTCTTATGGGTTTTTGTTGTAAATGAGAAACATTATCTAGAGTAATGTGAGGCATTTATATAAAAATAGTCTAGTAATTATAGATTTACTTAGAAATATGTTAGTGACTGTTGTGTTTAATGACATAAATAACCTTTTTTTAAAAAACAATTCGTAATGAAGTTCTTAGAATACCGAAAAAATCCCCATCAAAATAGCGCTTTACGCAACCCGGTAATTTTATTTGAGACTTCAACTTGACGGTTCCGCTTAGGATATTTAAACAATAAGGTATTAGAATGAGCAATTTCTATTATGAGTAGTACCTAGTACCAATTTTGCGCTCAATCTGTTTGTAAATTGAGGTGTTTTTGTCCTGCCTGTTATTGGGAATAATCATAACCGTTCTCTCATAATAGGACGTAAGTGTCTTCTGTATTCCAAAACTGCTCCAGACATCGAGATCTTCAGTATTTTCATGGTGCTGGGCATTTTTTGTGCCACTGAATCTCAAGTCATTCTGTATTGGCTGTTGTTGTGGGTCCAAGCGTAACAATGTACCTATGGAACAGAATGTGAGGATCATGGCAGTTAGAAATTTCCTTTTTTCCTATTCTATCCTTTGTCCTTTCTCGAGTTCCAAACTATGTATGTGCCAAATTTCTCAGAAATCAGTTCAGTGGTTTAGGCGTGAGGAAAAGACAGACAGACAGAGTTAGTTTCGCATTTATAAAATTAGTTTGGAAGTTTGGATAGGTACAGTACTTTTATTGATATCTCCTGTAGGTAATAATTAGTAGTAGGTAGTAGAAAACTAAAGTTCTTTAAAATTTCAGTTTTAGCACATCTTATGAAAATCTTAAAATTATTTTGAAAAATTAAATTGCCTGTGTATCATTATTCTCGCATTAAGCAAGAAATACTGTTTCATCATCTTGTTAAGTATTTTATATTATCAATTGTGTTGAAGATGTCATTCATTATATTCATTTGAGTTTTTATTAGGCTTGCCGTTTTTGCAACTTTTTTTTTTTAAGTTATTGTAGTAAAAACTTTGTTGATAGCCGTTCTAGTAACGCCACAATTAGTCATTACGTAATATCATAAGCCTAAAACGAAACTTTTGTCCTTATTTTTATTGAAAACTACCGGCCCGCCCCCGCTTCGCACGGATCCCACTATCTCGCTATCAAAGGGTTACTTTTTCCTAATCGTTCCCTCTACTTTTCTCATATTTTATAATATATAATATATAATAGATAAGAACCTTCTCCTGACAATAACAAACACAACAATAAAAGAATTAGCAAAATTGGTCCAGGCGTTGTTGAGTTATGCGCTTACCAACACATTTTGCGATCCGTTTTTATATATAAGAAGATAACGACTTACTCATGTAAAATCACTGAGAAAAGCTCTACTAGTTTCAAGTCACACCGGGACTCTTATACAAGAGCAGCGTGACCGTCGCCGTGAAGTAGCGCAGCCAACTGTTCTTTCTCTTTTCTTTGTCCTTTCTCAATAAACTGATTTTCTAACACATTTTTTTAATTCGAACCTAAAGCCCTAGTGAATAGTGTAGACAACTAAAAAAATTTCAAACCTAAAAAAACAAGCTAGCTCCTTCTTAAAAGGCCAGCAACACATCTGTAGTTATACCATCAGGCGACAGGCCTACTCATTTAATTCATATACAAAATACCGCAATTCATTCAGATCTATAAATCATATAATCATTTATACTATATGTATGTATGTATAGCCAATAAAAAAAACAAACAAACTTCTTCATTATCGACTTTAAAATCAAAAGATAAGGAAACGCCTCGCTCGATAATTAAAACTCATTCAATTCTCATATTAACGGTTTCTTCCTCCATTTATTTAACGAGCAAAACAAGACGCTTGTTGCCACATGAGCATCAATGATGATTACCGCAGTATGACAGAATAATTAGATAATTTATGACATTTGCAAGTGTCTATTCTAGTGTTCTCTGCAGACCTAGACGAACAAAAACACAAACAATACACAATCAGCTTCTAAGGGTCAATTTATAAAAAGAACTAGCCTTTAAGTGTGGAAGAGCCATGCTTCGGCACGAATAGGTCGGCTCGACCGGAGTGATACCACGGCCTCATAAAAAATCAGCGTGAACAAGGACAGTGTTGTGTTTTCGCCGTGTAAGTGAGGTTACTAGAGGCCCAATCCTTCCCCTCCTCCAATCCCTAAATCCCCAAATCCTCAAAAGGTCGGCAACGCACTCGTAACTCCTTTTTTGCGGTTGTCCGTGGGCTGTGCTGATTGCTTACCATCAGGTAATGCGTAGACACGTTTGCCGACCTATCACTGAAAAAAAAGAAAGGTTTGAAGCATATTGATGCTCAAATCTAATAAGTATCATATCAAATTCAACCTTATTTCTAAAGCATAATGGTCACATTAGCGAATCCGTTAAATTATAACTAAGAACAACAATTTTATTGTTATTTCCTGATCTGAATATCACGTCACGAGCGGATAACGAAGTAATCTTTCCATGTACGTGGAAATCAACAATAAGGTTTTATAAAAAACTTATTAAAACGAAGTATTTGCTTTTTATATCGATGGTCTACATTGATGGTGGCGCATTGTAAGTAAATACGTAGAAGTTTCACTTGACGTGTATTTTGATCAGTTTCATATATTATGTTACTAGCTTCCGCCCGCGGCTTCGCCCGCGTCAAATTAGTTTTTGTCAACTCTGGTCCCTTATGTCTAAGAGACATTACAGGGGTCAGCCCAGGAGTACCATTTGCAAATTCCACACTTCTTGTGGAATTTGAAAACGGTACCCCTCTTGCTCATTGCTAAACATAAGCGGGTATTGTAGTGCGTCATAAAACTTATGTGTGTCGGACACCCTGATCAATGTGTTGTGACGGGTTTGAAAAACAATATCGATGCAAACTGTTCAACACACACCGTGGCAGCGACTTCGTTTGTTAAGGATGCATTATAACGTCTTTCATGTTCCCCGCTTGGCGTACGATCTGCGAGTATTACTAATTTGTGTTTAATTTGTGATTTTCCCGTGGCATTTTTTCTAAGGCTGTTTTGAAGGTGTTAATGAGGTTATTATGTTCGTGCAACATTCTTTGATTTTTTAAAACAATGTCCCTCTCATCTCCTTCAATATTTTGACATCAACGGTCAACCTCGCTGTTTTTGTCTCCCATAAAATAAATCTGTAGAAATTTTGGTTGATCATTGTTTGTGGGAAGCAAAGAACCAATCCTATGATAAACTTGCCCTTGTACCGTAAATGTGGGTGAAAATCCAGGCATGATGACAGGAAAAATCGCAGAGATTCATTGCTGTCCTTTCTTCTGTCGTTGCTCCTCGGGGTCACCAAGCGTTGGTACTGATACTTTGCCTCCAGAACAGCACATACCTATGGTCTCTTCCTTCCACTTGAGTGCCTCACAGTGTCTGCATTGATTGCCCATTCTACCTATGAGGACTAATCGATGATTAAAGTAGTTAAGTAACGGATCATAATCAAAAGCAGCATCGGCAAATGCCTCCCACGTATTCATCGTAAACGTACGTCTCCTTTCTGCTGGCCGCTCGGCATTAATTAAACGTCGTCTACGTGTTTCTTCGGAGGTCTCTGCGGCTATGTACGAAGCTTGACACTCAGCATCTAAGATTTGGCGAGCTTGGGTCTGTTGACAAGTCTCAGCAGCTCTTTGATCCGCGTGACGCTCGGCATCAATGATTTGGCTAGCTTGGGACTGTTGAGAGGACTCAGCAGCTCTTTGATCCGCGTGACGCTCGGCATCAATGATTTGGCTAGCTTGGGACTGTTGAGAGGACTCAGCAGCTCTTTGAGCCGCGTGACGCTCGGCATCAATGATTTGGCTAGCTTGGGACTGTTGAGAGGACTCAGCAGCTCTTTGAGCCGCGTAACGCTCGGCATCAATGATTTGGCTAGCTTGGGACTGTTGAGAGGACTCAGCAGCTCTTTGAGCCGCGTGACGCTCGGCATCAATGATTTGGCTAGCTTGGGACTGTTGAGAGGACTCAGCAGCTCTTTGAGCCGCGTAACGCTCGGCATCAATGATTTGGCTAGCTTGGGACTGTTGAGAGGACTCAGCAGCTCTTTGAGCCGCGTGACGCTCGGCATCAATGGCTTGGCGAGCTTGGGTCTGTTGAGAAGTCTCATTCCAGTGATCTGGCAAGTTTAGCAGCCCGAGCTCTGCTAGAGCTTTTAGCTAAATTGGACTTTCGTTTGCGAGGCATCGCAGAACAACAAAAATGAAATGAATCGAACAAAACAGATGAACAGATTAAGATTTATTATATTAAAAAAAGCTTTGTTCACCGCACCTGCACCTACTTGGATAACTACTTATTTACAACCAATAAAAAAAGTAGGATGCTATTAGATTAATTGAATAAAAAAATGAAATAAAAGCAAATCGTATTTATTTAAAGTAACGGAAACTATCTTACCTACTTGTAACGTTGTAACTATGAACTAAAAGAAATATTAAGTATGTGCAAAATTTATTTACAGGATCTAATTAATAAAAAACACTAAAAAAGTTAGACGAAACAATAAAATAATTTTACTGGATCGAAAAATGTAATTCTCTAAAGCGCAAATTTCTCTTATCGCACCCGACAACGACCTCTGTCCTCACGTGTCTGTCCGTTCGGGTAGACATAGTTAGATTCGTGCGCTTCCCCACCACACGACAGCGCCGCGCCGCACTTCGGCGAATGTGCGCGACGCCGACGGCAGCGACGGCGATGCAGTGTTTATTAAAAGGAATTTATACTTCGAAAGTGAACTATTTTGTAACTTGATACACCCAAAACTTCTAAATTACATGATCCTAGGTTCAATAGTTAAGATTTCGTATACCTACATAAAGGTTGGCTTTGTAGATCCCGTTCCGAATCCGTTCCGGGTCTTATCTTCAATTCATCCCCTATTTCACTACATATCACACTGATAAAATTTTCAAAATGCTAGAACAAACGATTTTTTGTTTCTTATGACGTGATATTTGACGAAATTGCATACTAACTTTCAACCCTTATTTCACCCCCTAGCTGGTTGAAATTTCAAAAATGCTAGAACAAATATTTAATATTTTGTTATCAAGTGCTTAAATATTAAGTTTTATGGTTTTATCTTTAAAAATTAAGAAATCCCATACAAACTTTGAACCCCATATTTCAACCCCTTTATCACTGTTTTTGCGGGTGCGGGTTTTCTTCAGTAGGAGTTTGACACTCCCTCCCGCCCCAACCTGGGCGAGTAGAGAGAAGAGAAGAGGTCATTTAATGATTTACCCTCACAAAAATAAAATGAAAAAAGATTACTAGTGTAGGGTGCCTTCCAAGAAGGTGACTGGCAGTAGTTGGAAGCGGATCAGGTTGTGCTTGGAGTGGCTTCTGTTTTTTCTCATGCTTTCAATAGTTCATTTTAGAATGTCGGCTAGGTTAACTATAAATATTTAATTACGTAGGGGAACGTTTCTTTCGACACAGTATGAATGTTAAAAACAGCATGAATTTGATATCGTATCATGTCAGTCATGTCATGGTAAGATGTTTGTTTTAGAAAGTGTTCAGTTTTGAGTATGTATAAAAGATACTTTTAGCAATATCCTTCAAAAATTTTATCAATCATCGGGCATTAGGTAGGTACTCCAAATCGGATTTTCATTCACATAACCTCGAGTATTCGACAACGCATTTCTTATTCCTCTGGTGTTGCTGATGTTCGTTGCCCATAGAAAGTGCTAATCGCTATGGGTGCTAATAGGAAGGAGCTGTTGACCCACGAAAAAAATCAAACCGAAATATTTAAATTTTAAAGAAAACTTTTTCTTGTAATTTTCCATTTAATAAACACCTATTTTGATTTGGACCTTTTCAAATAGATTTGTATTTTGCGATTAAATTGATCGCGTCTAGCGGCTGGCGCGCGACGTTCGGACAAGGCCAGCAATGTTGTGAACATATCTTGTGAATAAAAAAACAGGAACCGGCCAGAGCACGCGAGATTAGCACGCATCATAGTTTCATAATTAAAGCTCAGCAATTGTGACTAATAAAGGGACTGATTACTTTTCTAAGAGTCGAAGGTATGAGATAAATCGTATGACGAGAGTAGATTAAAATAGCCCTTTTTCAAATATATTCAAAGGTCATATTTCCTAGATGGAGCAGTCTACAGATACCCTTCATGGCATAGGATGATATTATTTGTGACTTCAATGAATAGTTTCTAGAAAACCTATTGACGAAATGCGTTTCAAAGTTTCGGCACGAATGCCAAAGCCGCTGCTTACCATCAGGTAATCCGTCTGTTCGTTAGCCGACTTATTCCATTAAAAAAAATGTCTTGTAGATTCATGTTAACCTTTTTTTAATGAATGTAAAGAATATAAACAAACACAATAAAACTTTAACACACGCTCTGCAAGAATATCTTAGGGTATAGAGAAACATGTGTGTTATTCCTGACTTTATCAAATCCATCTCTAAGCCAAACTCCATACAAACATAATAATAATACTTTCATAAAAAATTTTTTTGGTAATTTAATAAGTAACTAGCTAAACTCGCGCGGTTTCATCGGCTGTCATCCGCTGCTCAACTCGTTTTAATTGTAGCGTGATGTTTTATAGCCTATAGCACTCTGGTACATTGAAGCTATCTATCTAATTGTGTTAATTTAGTAAGTCTTTTTAAATCTTTTGATTTGTCTAATGTTTTCCTTGAGCCCACCCGAGTAACATCCACCTCGGCTACATGCATAGATAATATATTTTGTAACTGTAATTATTTACATAAGGATATAATAAATACCTTACCATCAGACCACAGTGGGTTAACAATGAACCTTAACAACATCACAAAGGTGCCAAAAAAGGAAATAATGTTTAGGCAAATCACAAATAAAAGGGTTGAGTTATTAAATAACAATTTGAAACATAAATTATGCAGCCCATCACATGATTATGAAGGTCCAAGTGAGATTTATGACAATCTACTGTCCGTGATTAAAACCCAGTTTGATAAAATATTCCCCTTAAAAAGAAAAACTATTGAGTGTAAATTTGTATTCTGTGACTGGGCTACCCCAGGTATTCGTAGAAGTAGGGAAAGGTTATTTGAGCTATATGGTATGAAACCATTTGATACTAGTGAAGCCTTCAGCAAGCATGTGTCCAAATATGCAAAAATATTTAAAACACTTTATATTGGCAATAAGATTAAAAATGCTGAAAATAAAACAAAAGCTACGTGGAAGGTAATTAATAACGAGACAGGCAGAAATAAATTGCATAACACGGAATTTAATTTAAATACGGATAATGGACGAGTTAATGCTAATCAAGAAGTTGCCCAAGAATTCGAATTTTTTTTCAAGAATATCCCCATTAAAACTACGAAAGACTTAGAATCATCTCCGGCACTTTCTATTAGTCTTCTTAAAAGAAATGTTAAAGAATGCCGTTCTGGCTTCCGATTTCAGTACACGGACCCGCAATCAGTAATAAAGGCGTTTAAAGACATAAAAGTTAAGTCTACAGAGGATCTATGGGGAATGTCTGTTGTGGTGTGTAGGTCTTTTATAGAAGCTATAGCGCCTTACTTAGCTGTAATTTTTAATAAAAGTGTAGATCAGGGTGTTTTTCCAAATTTGATGAAACTTAGCAAGGTAGTTCCGTTGTTTAAATCTGGCGATGACAATGATCCCAATAATTATAGGCCGGTATCAATTTTACCAGTGCTTAGTAAAGTGTTTGAAAAGCTAATGCTTTCTCAGATGCTACGACACTTTAACATAAATTCCATCTTTCATGACCAACAATATGGGTTTACCAAGGGTCGATGCACAACTGACGCCGGTGTAGCTCTACTTAAGCATGTTTTTGCCTCATGGGAAAAGTCAAACGACGCTATTGGGATTTTTTGTGACCTGTCTAAAGCTTTTGATTGCGTTGAACACACGACACTGTTGCTGAAGTTGGAACACTATGACATTCGAGGGGTATCTCTCAATTTATTAAAATCATACCTGCAGGATAGGCAGTTCAAAGTACAAGTAAATAAAGTGAACTCCCAGGGTACTAGCATATCTATGGGCGTACCACAGGGCTCAATATTAGGTCCTTTCCTGTTTTTAGTGTACATAAATGATTTACCTCATTTATTTCAACGTGAACCGGGAATGGTATTATTTGCTGATGACACATCGTTGATTTTTAAAATAAATAGACGGACAGATAATTATGACGACGTAAATAATGCTATAACGAAGGTTCATAATTGGTTTACAATTAATAATTTAGTCCTAAACGACAAAAAGACTAAATGTATACGATTCAGTTTGCCAAATGTTAAAAGTACCGAATGTGACATATTATTAAACGGTAATAAATTGGAATTTGTAAAACAAACTACTTTTCTGGGTATAACCATAGATGACAAACTACAATGGGGGCCCCATATCACATCTCTGGCAGGACGGTTGAGCTCTGCAGCATTTGCTGTCTGGAAGATCCGACAGCTAACAGATGTGGACACTGCAAGACTGGTGTACTTCAGCTACTTTCATAGCATTATGTCGTATGGCATCTTGTTGTGGGGACAGGCTGCTGACATTGAGTCTATCTTTGTCTTGCAAAAGCGTGCCATCAGAGCTATTTACAATCTAAGGCGTCGTGAGTCTCTTAGAGAAAAGTTTAGAGAGATCAATATTATGACCGTGCCATGTCAGTTTATTTATGAAAACATTATGTATGTTAGGAAAAACTTAAAAATATTCGATAAGGTGTCAGATAGACATAATTATCAAACTAGACATAGAGATAGATTATGTCAGCCATTATTTAGATTGGCAAAGGTACATAAGTCGTTCATGGGATTCTGTGTTAAATGTTATAACAAAATCCCAGGCGAAATACAACAATTAAATGAAAGAAATTTTAAATTATGTGTAAAGAAAACTTTATGTAGAAAAGCATACTACACACTGAATGATTACATTGTAGATAAAGATGCTTGGAGACATGCTGGTCCTGCTCCACAGGATAGCAAACGTACACCAAAATAAATAACGTTCCAATGGATTTTGCTTGAACGGGACTTCTTCATTTTAGTGAAATTGCATTATATTGTATAACTATAACTTGATAAATTTGTAAATGTGAGTGCCCTGTAACCTATTTTAATTGGTTAGACTAGCAGAATGTCGGTCCTTTATAACAGCTTGGAGTTGTCATGCTCACTGAAAGGTCACACTGGCGGTGGCATGGGCACTGGATCGCTTAATTCCCTATAATATGGTTGAGTTGGGCGATGCTGGTGTACGTGTCATGCTCGTGAACGAGCGCCGTCAGTTGGGACTGGTCAGCTCCAGACTGTCTATTGTCCTTAAGGTTACTTTATTTTTATATTTGAATAAATATTAGTGTTACACTGTTCTCACATAATTGAACCAACTGTTTGTAAAAGGAATCTGTATGTGAAACTGATTTAAAAAGAGTAACCATGGAGTTTCTTGCTCGTTCTTCTCCATCGGAATCTACACTTTGGAACGAGCAAATAGCTTCACTAAGAGGACTGACCGACAGACTGACACTATTTTTTTATTTTATATTTTGTTTGACGTTCAAAAGTGCCTGTAAAGGTCTAATTGGAATAAATGATTTTTGACTTTTTTTTGACTTTTTTGACTTTTATCAGTGAAAGAATTTTGGCAATCCGACCAGCTGTTCCAATGATTACCCCCTACATACAAACTTACAAATTTTATATTTTTAAATATTAGTATAGATGAAGCAACTATTGACTAAACAAAACCTTTAGGACGTAGAACCCACATGGACTCCAAGAATAGCTCATGGGGCTTGTAAAACCTGATAGGTATTAATCTTGGGAGCAGCGGTAAAACCCCATTGTTTAACTATGGGTACATCACGAACAAGTTCATCACGAATTAATTTGCATATTATTAGTAGTTTTACTTTGATATTTTTCCATGTAAGGGAACGTAGAACACGTTTAATACTGGGTTTGAAACAAAACAAAATCTACAAGTAATGTTATACGAATATAATACTCGAATGTAACCCTACATTTAGTTTCTGATGTCCATAAGTCTCTCTAATGTGAAACCTTTTCTATGATGGGGCATCAGAAAGACACGAAGACATTGATTGACTTCTCCCACCCTGGGTCAAGCGAGATGGAGTGTCAGACCCTTCTGACTAACCACTGTTTTTTTTCCTAATCCGAGACGAGGCCGTGGTACGATATTGCATTTGCACCCACAAACCCCGTCTGAACCTTTCGGCATACTATTATTCACGATGTTTTATAGCCTATAGCACTCAGGAACATTGTAGCCACCTATCAGTGAAAGAATTTTGGCAATCCGACCAGCGGTTCCAAAGATTACCCCCTACATACTAACTAATAAATTTTATATAAGTAATATAGATATAGATAAGCCTTCCTCTATAAATGGACTAAGAAACACAAGAATAATTGTTCAATTCAAACCAGTAGTTCCGGAGATTAGCGCGTTCAGACCAACAAACAAACAAACTCTTCAGCTTTGCGATATTAGTATAGATAAGACTTTTATTTACTCTTGAGTATTTTAATATGTATTAAAATATCACACACCACGATAAAGTTAGTGTTAATTAAATATACGAATAATTACTTTTTTGTAAATTAAATATGTATAGTCCGTTTTCCCACAAAGCAGTACTTTAACATGCGCAAGAGTGCGTCACTAAGGGGTACCCCCAATTTTAATAATGAAACGCATCAAACCATACCACGTACATCCAAACTAATATTATAAATGCGAAAGTAACTCTGTTTGTCTGTTTGTCTGTCTCTAGTTCAAGTTGTTCATAAATAAAAAATACCGTTTGCTACCTACCTACATCGTTAAAATAAAGTTAGATATACTTTGTTGCCAAACGAGCTGATAGTTTTTGGGGATTAGGGTTTCGGAAATTTAGAGATGTGGGTAAGATTGTTGGCCACCCCGGAGCTGGGCACCTGGGGCACCAGGAAAAAGGATTGGTAGGACCTAACACACGATTAAACACAAGGCAGTGAGAGTAACGCGGCATTTAATTTATAAAATTCACTGAAATATAAGTACCTACACATATTTGACAATGGAAAGACATTTCAAGTTTTATGAGGTACCTACCTAATTAAATCTAAATATATTTTGTGTAGTTCACTGTAAAGACGTGCTTATTAATCTTGATTATAATTAACAGTTCCATCCAAATACCCGCAGTGTTTTTCCCACGACACGGGCCATTGTTCTCTTCGTTTCGTCTCGTGTTTATAAAACGTGCAGCCATATTTGGATTTTATTTTTAAATATATCTTTGGGCAGTAACAATTGACATAATCGTGACCCCAAAATATTGATGATAGATAAACAAACAAGATACAATACAATCAAAATAGATACCAAGAATGGCTATGTATTTATTACAAACTAGCTTTTGCCCGCGACTTTTGTTCGTGGAATAGTGACTTCCTGCAGAGTTTTGGTTAAAAACTATCCTATGTTCTTTCTGGAGTTCCAAACTATGTCTGTACCAAATTTGAAATAAACAGGTTCAGAAGTTTAGGCGTGAAGTGAAGACTACTAAGAGGTAATATTAATAATATAACATATAGTTTTGATTGTGTATATACCCACAGGCTGCTCTCTTTAGAAAGGACGAGGGAGTGGATTGACTTATTTGGGAGCGAATGAAGGAGTCGATATCGCAACTGGATAGTATATAGTATTTAGCTCGCTTTCTAGCCAGAACCAAGCCCAACCGTAAGGCGAGATCCGCGTGCGCTTCACAGTGCCTTTAGAACACCACAATTAAGCCGAAAAAGTAACGGGGTGTTTTGTCAATATGACTCACTCCCTCTCACCCCACCTAGGACGGGTGAAGTCATATGATGATATTCCATTCACAAAATAAAAGGTTCACTATTAAAGACCCTCTTGTTGTTCTTATTCCATTATTAAACTTAGTTATGAGTCAATATAGTCCAACTTCATGGTCGATGCAGTTCGAGTTTTTTTCTTCCTCGGAACAACTTTTTGTGCAACCTCAAATTTTTCTGCTCGGTTAATGTTATGTATGTAAACAAACAAAGATGATCTCCGGCCACTGTAAGCGCGGGTCTGCGGACGACGAGTAAGGGTAGCTCGCCGCCCGACCAGAACCAGACCCGAGCGTACGGCGCGTAGCGTTCCGCGCGCGCCTCGAAGAGCCAATAGACCACCACAGACGGGGCCCTATAGGGCTGATATTCAGCCGGGGTTGCGGGGTAAGCGCAATGAGGCACCACGACCTCAGCCTAGAGCAGGAGTAGGAACAGGGGGGTTTTTAGTCAGTAAGAGTCTGACACTCCCTCCCGCCTGACCCTGGGCGGGTGAAGTCATTTGATGATTTTCCCCTTACAAAAAAAAAAAACAAACAAATTAAGACGTATGAGAAAATCCGAAATCCTGAAGTTGCTAAGCGCAATGATGTACCACGACTCGGATCGAAGCATATGATATAACAGGGTCGTTTTAGTCAGTATGAGTCTAATGCTTCCTCTTGCCCAGGGCAGGAGCAGACATTAGACGTTTTTTTCCTCAAAAACTGAACATATTTTTTAAGAAAAATATAAAATGTTTGACGATGGGAGAGCCAACCTTCGGCATGAATAAGTCGGCGCGAGACCGGAGAGATACCACGACCTCACAGAAAACCGGCCTGAAAAAACCACAGCGTGATGTTTCGCCATGTGAGTAAGGTTACGGAGGCCCAATCCTTCCCCCTCTCCCAATCTCTTTCCAATCCTTAAATATTTAAAGGCCTTATCCCCAATAGGTCGGCAACGCACTCGTAACTTCTTTGGCGTTTCGGGTGTGGCGCCGATTGCTTACCGTTAGGTAATCCATCTGCTCTTTTGTCAACCTATTCCATAAAAATAAAAATTAAATTTTGGTAATCTTCATCAATGAAATAAAAAATTTGCTCATCACTAAACCTAAATCTGTCTAAATAGCTTACAATAGCGTACCGATAAATATAAACCAGTGATACAGACGACAGTGCAGGCCGAAATTCGTGTCCAGAATCCAAATTAGTTGAAATAGAATAAACTATAAAACGCGAATCCTGGCTGGTTACACCAGAGACTGTTGGGCTTTATAACGAGCAACATTTGAGATAAGTGAATTGAAAAAAAAGAAACAAAAAAAGTAAAAATGAAATTGATCTGGTCGCTAGTGATCGTATGCTGTGCTTTTCTTGAAGTACGAGGATACCCCTTCCCAGTGTTCACGTCCTCAGCAAATGTCGATACATGTAAGTAAAACTATTTTTTAACATTTAAACTAAAGTCACAGTTACTATTTCATAAAATTATTGTCAGTTTTAATTCCCCGTTTTTTATGTGATACGAGCAGACAGAGATTACCTGATGGCAAGCAATCGGCGTCGGTCATGGACACCCGCAGCACCAAAGGAGTTACGAGTGCGTTGCCGGCCTTTTGGGGATAAAGGTTGATATTTAAGGATTGGGAAGGGATAGGAGAGGGGGAGTGATTGGGCCTCCGGTATCGCACAAGACGAAACACAGCGCTGTGGTTTTTTCAAGCTGATTTTCTGTGAGGCCGTGGTATCACTCCAGTCGAGCCGACCCATTCGTGCCGAAGCATGGCTCTCCCACACTTACATGATGTTCAGTTTGGTATATATCTGACACACGTTTATATTTGAGTAAAGCGTATTTACTGTATTTGTTACAGTTACGGAACCGAAAAAAACAGTGTTAAAATTTGTCAAAAGATTTTACACTCTAGACCTCTTAAGATTCAATTAGAGACATAACTACTAAGTTCACTAATCAATGACAACTTATTTCACAGGGTCGTACGGAGATGCTCATCGTGGTGGCAGAGTTCTAAACCGTTTCCACAATCCATACGCAATTCGACGGGCAGTAAGAGCTGGGCCGACCACTTACTCACTTTGGAAACCAGAAGCCGAATTAACTCCTTTAACATCTTATCAGTCCATACAGTACCATCAAGAGAAACGTCGCCAAGCTTTGTTAGAAGTAAATGATACGCCACCACAAGAGAACGAAGTCTTTTACCCCCTAGAGGGTCCAGTACAAATTGCTGATGAAGCTACAGAACTTATTAAACCAATAGAAGTCGCACCAGAAGTGCCAACTACAGCAAAAGCTATAGTTCCTGAACAACCTCAAGTTGAGGAAGAAGAAAAGCCAGCTGCAGATCCTAAACCAGAGTTAGAGAAGAAGATACCAGCCAAAAAACCTGAAGTGGTTGATGAAGAGGATGACGATGAAGATGATGAGGACTTATCATCTCAACCTAAGTTCCCTGGCAATGCTTTCTTCCCCATGTTCTTTGGATGGGGAGGTGGAAGTGGACCTGTAGCAATCGCTAATTCGTTCAGTAAAGGACGTGGTGGTGCAGCCGCTAGCGAAGCCACTGCCTATGGAAGCTACATACCGCTTGTAAAATCAGCTCCTCTGAAGTCACATTAAAATGCTCTCAGAATTATTAGATTTTTTTAATTGTATAAATTTTTATTATTTTTTGGGCTGAACTTTGTCAATACGTTTTGTGAAAACAATAATCCATATGTTTTTGTGGATCAAAATCATAAAAATATTATTTATGGATTTTATTATTTTCTTAATAAACGTTTTTATTGGTTCCAGTGTGTCGTTTTTTTGTCTTTTTGAAAACAAATATGCACTCTTATTACCTGGAAATATGTAAGTCAATTCATATCTATGGTTTTCGCATTATAATTTGCCTATGATTAAAACAATATAAATGACTAAATTATTTCATTTGTAAACTAAAGAGAGAAACAATGATAGAAAACGCATAATTGATCCAATTCGTAAAAAATCGAAAAACTAAATTAATACAAAATATAAATTCACACATTCTGAGCACACACATGCACATACTGAGACACTCATTAAGGATAACAATATGAGAAGGAATTAGTATTTTCAATAGTTTCCTATTAATTAAAGTAATGCAATATACTTAGATTTACTATCTACTATAGTTTTTTAATATGACGCCTGATCAAAACAATAAACTCAGACACGCAGCTTTCAAATCAGTTGCGTGACATATGAAGGTAGTATAGAAAAAACTTCTATTAAAAATTTATCGATTTCTTATTGATTTAAAAATATTCTATTAACAAAATAATCAATAAAAACATGCAAAGGTAGAAAACTTTCATTCATTAATTTAACGATACTTCAGATAAAAGTATGTTATTTGCCTTAAAAATATTATGAGGTCATATGCTAAATTGTTATACCTACTAAACTATTATTATAAATTTTCTTTAAATACAAACTTTCTCTGGACTTCCATGAACACTTCAAGACCAAAATTAGCCAAATGGGTAAAGGCATTGTAATGTTATGGATATAGTATGTATTGGCGTTGTAATGTTATAAAATATTACACCGAAAAGTGGCATTGAATTAAAAGAAGATTCAAAGAAGGCTATCTTTTTTGACATTTGAATAAAAGTATTGAGTTTGACTTTAAGGAAAGTACCGGATTAGAGATATTTGTTAACACGTTGAACGCAGATGTGGCTCCACGGCAGTGGCAGTGTCAGTTGCGATTTTTTTTTCAAATATAAGCAGCATAAATTAATGTTATCTGTGAATACTGTAATTCACGATGATCTTAAGTTCGTGATACCAATTTTATCATCTGTAGTTATTGTTTAAGTTAGGTAATATTGGCAGCCTATTCCTAGCTGTATACTTACTCAAAGTACAGTAAGTACTTTGTAATACTTCCTATGGCAATGATGAACGTTAAATGTATCATGGATATCCAAATAGCATCAATACCTAAGCCAGTAACCATTACTAAAAATTTTATTGTTTCATTCGGCCAGGGATGCGAGATTATAATTAATAATTTACTGCGATACCATCCACCACATCCATCCACAGGAGAAACAAGAAGGTAGTTTTTAGTCAGTAAGAGCCAGACACTCAATTTCCCAATTCAGCTTAAGTAGCTTCTACTCTCTGCAAGACAAATAATTCCAACAAAGAACCTAATAAAAACATAGTACATTATTAATAATACCAATTTACTGTTTTGCAAACTTCTGTACTGCCTAAACTTGCTCTTCGAAAGAAACAGGCGTCTGTTACGTTACGACATGTAATATATTATGTGCAGTTTTAAAAATTTGCCTAAAAATGTAGTTTGAGTGTAGAGAAAACTACTAATCGACAATTATTTTACCCAAGATCCTGTAATTTCAATAACTTTGTTGAAAAGTCTACAATTATCTAATTTGTGAATCGAAAGTGAATACATATCCAACAAAATATTAATTTGTAAATATATATTACTAATGATGGCAGAAGGGACAAGAACACCTTATAATAAAACCAAGAAGAATACAAAATTAAATGGCAAATTTTATTCATATTCGATAAAAAGATGGAATGCGCATCAACTTTATACATATAATAATAAGTACATAACAACGTAGAAATATAAAATTTACACTTATCTCTAACAATTGGTCAGGTTATTACACTCTTTCCTCTGGTCTGGGTGCTCCGTAGGCTGTCGCGTGGCTCGTGGCTACTCCACCCTTACCGGTGCTGTAGGCGTTGGCAACGGCCATGGGGCCACCTCCAGCACCACCAGCTCCACGACCACCGTAGCCGAAGAACATGGGGAAGAAAGCAGCAGCGGGCATTTTAGGAGCGTACTCTTCTTCGTCTTCATCGTCAATCGGCCTCTTTACTTGCTTCTTCTTGCTGACTTTCTTCGCTTTCTGCACGGGTGCCTCCTCTACTTCGTCTTTGATCTCAGGTTCAGCCAATTCAGGCACAGCAACAGCTTTTTCTGTCACGGGGGCAAGTTCTACGTTCTCAGTAGGTTCGGCAAGATCAGTAGCCTCAGATGGTACAAAGGCTTGGTTGTCCGGTTGTTGGGGGTAGGCTACTTCATTCTGCTGGGGCGGGACGAAGTTAGCTTGTTGCTGGGTCTGGCGGCGTCTGTCGGGCAGGTAGTACTGGCCAGATTGTTGGGGAGCCTGGACCTCAGGCTGGTTGTACATGAAGGCAGCCATGCCTCCGCCGACAGCACGAGGGTTGTAGTACGGGTTGTAGTAGCGACTCAATGCTATCCCGCCACGGTTTCCATCACCGTACGATACTGTGGAAGAATAATTTCTGATCTTAGTCTAAGAATACAAAGTTCAAACATTTAAAAAAATGCTTTTGAATGATTATCAAAATTGACAAATTCTTTACGTTTATCATGATATTATATTATTGAACAATATTGAAATTTGCTGAGAGGAATCTATTTTTAATATTATTTTTTGCGACTGGGGTATCCAATTGGTAATTTTTAAACTGATTTTCAATAATTGGAGCTTGGTAAATAAGTAAAAATTAAATAGTACTCACGTGAATCAACATTTCCGTATGAGGGGTAATACGCATACGGATATCCCCTGGCTTCGAATAGCGCGCAACTCAAAATCACAAGAGACAATACAAACTTCATGTTTACGATTTTCGTAAATATAATTTTGTTCACTATTTAGTATTCTTGGCGGGATGTGGTGTGGTTTACAGATACTGAGTGTGTGTTGGCTGGAGCCAGACTACGCGTTATATAGTCCACAGTGTCTGGACTAATTGGGATGCAGGACACGTCGCCTGCCTGCACCCGCGCAGGCTTCGTCCATTTTACAATATTCGGCAGAGCTCTAACGGAGACTGGACAATGGACATCCTAGAGAGGACCCGATCATGCTCAACACGTATTCATTAGCCAGGTAAACCGTTGAACTTTTTGTTTTGCTGTTTTTTGCATAAACTTGCACTAGATCTGATGACTCACATTTTACAGTAGTAATGGGTTTAGATTTTTACTCAATCGGTTACATTCACTAGATTTTCATGTATCTCCCAAACAGTCTTCTTTTTAAAGGTCCTTCCTACGAAAACATCTTTTGCAATTATGGTTTTATATTTTTTGCCTAAATAAAATTATATATAGATATTCCGCAACATTTTAGTCTAATGTTACGATGCTATCTTTCTCTGAAACCAAATTAAAATGCCCATTTTACTCACAAGGGACTCTTCAAACATTTATTTATAGTAGCTTCGTGTGAATTTGCTATAAATATGGAAAAATCGAACTGTTTGGTGCGTGTACACGCATTATGCTGCGTTTGCGATCGCTCTGCATAAATCGACCCTACGTGGAATGACAAAAAGGTTCATTCATGAAGATTTATAACATTAGTAAAGTTGTGTTTACTAGATTTTTAACTACTTCTTGGAATCTTTGAACCGTTTATATTACTCGCAATGAACGTCGCGGAAAATTGTGTTGTTATGTAAATAATTCTCTATCGAGTCCGCTTTTATTTCTTTCGATATTGTTCGGAGTACTGTTTTATAAAAATACGTTTTGTTTGGTTCACTTTTTCTCACTTGAATATTTTCGCCTTCTAGGATTATCAACTGTGATATCTCAAAGTCAAATCATTTAATTCAATTACAACATTACAGGCAATTTGAAGGTCAAACGAAAAAATAAATATAATAAGATAAGTCAGTAACTCTAAGTAAGTAACTCTGTCGGTCAGTCCTGTAGTGAAGTTATTTGTTCGTTTCAATCTATTGGTGGGTTCGAAACCTGGCACATACCAATGTGACTTTTTCCGAGTTATATGTACTTTCTATGATTATTAAGACACCACTGACATATGGTGAAAAACCATGAAAAGGATCAACCATGTAGCAGAGACGGCTGCTTACTGAAGCCTATCGTTCAGCTACCTCGTCAACGTCAATCTAGTCTATTAAATAATCTTGTTTCTAAAGGGGGGTAGGGAAAAAAGGTAGTGTCACACTCATGCTGACCAATAACCACCCCGTTCCTTCTCCTGCTCAGGCTGGGGCCGCAGTATATTAATGCGCCTGCACGCACAACCCTAGCTGAAAAAAAGGGGCCTTCTAGCTATATAATCCAGTTTAACTTTCATGTGTTATAAAAGGGTAGTTTCATGTATTATCACCTATCTTTTATTTTGTGTTTTCCCCTCGGTAAAAGAACATGAGTTATAGCTGATTGTCAGGGCATTTTCAATTCAATGGTTTGATTAGATATTTAAACGATACATGAAACGAATGTTAAGGAGGGCCTAAAATCCAATCCGCAAGTGTTCGACGTCAATAATTTCCCAAGAAATTATTTTACGTATTCGCGGTGCCAATAGAAGCTAAGCACATGTTCGAAATTCATAATATTAAAATCTATACATATTTGTATTTCACCCACGTGGAAGATTTGAGTATCCTAGTAGCAAAGCCGGCGATACTATCTCTGAGTTAGTCCATTCCTCGCGTCGATAGCATCTGTGCCCACGGCTTAAATTCCGTTAAAATGTTCATAACTGTCAAATTTGCCTGTTTGCACGTAAGCAGATGTTGCTGGTGGATTTATGCCGGAAACGTCGTGGTCATCACATTAGTATGAGCAGCCGGCCGGCCTGATTCATGCTCTA